GGGGGGGGCGGGCCCCACGCCCCTATTCTTCAGCATCGTCCTTCGCGCCGCCGCCGGCACCGCCCGTCGCACTGCTGCGAGTCATCGTCACGGCCGTAGCCCCCTTGCCCCCCTTCGCTGGGGCGGCGGCGGCAGAGGCGTTGGTGTCGGCGGCGGTGTAGGGGCTACCTTTCGAGTCGCCATCCTCGGCGCCGCCGCCAGCCGCGCCCCCTCTTTTTCCTCCCTTTCGGCCGGCCTTCCGTGGCGCCACATGCGCGAACTTACACTTCTTCCCCCACCGACAGTTACCGTCTTTCTGGAACTTGTAGCACACCCCCTGCTCCTTGGTTGCGCTGCCCGTCCCCCCGGCATCCGCTGCGGCGGCCGACGAACGGCCGGACTTGCCTTGCACAGCAGAATTGATCAGCCCTCCCGACCGGAGATACGCCGCGATGTTTGGGAAACCCGGGAGGGGGGGGGGCGAAAGACCCTCCGACGGCGGAGGCAGAACGAAGCGCCGCTGCATCTCGTCCGCGAACATCTGCACGTCGCGCGTGTACACTTCCACGTCTTTGACGAGGAAACTCAAAGAAGATGTCTCGGTTGTGCTGCGCTTGGATGGCCGCGTAATTCTCCCGAGCGAACCTCAAAGAAGATGTCTCGGTTGTGCTGCGCTTGGATGGCCGCGTAATTCTCCCGAGCGTGCCGCGCCACGTCGTCGATGGCCGTCTGGAACGAGGCTTCGACACGATCCAGCCGCGCTTGCGATGCCGCCTCCAACCTCGGTTCGTCGGCGATCCCCCGGCAAGCGATGGTAATAAAAGCCCCCGCCATGCAAATGCGTTGAGATGGGGAGACGGTCGCCACCCGCCCCCCGGGGCGTGAAGGCAGCGGGGTCAACGTCACGGAAGTTCAAGAGCATGTCGGCTACCACGTCCGTGACCTCAATACTATCAAACATTAACCCTTGCAGGCTCGGCTTCTCTAGCTTCGGCGGAAAACATCCCATCATCACCCACCACATGCGACTGTTCGCCGAGCTCCAAGCGTTCACCCGCTGGTCCGAGATTACCTTTTCCATCCGTCGCTGGGCATGCTACACCCTCGTTCCCGTCCCGTATCCACCGGAGTCCATGTTAAGGCCCCCCGCTCCAAACGGGAACGAAATCGCGGGAGTGAAGCCTAAGCCGCCCCCACTGCCATACAGACCAGCGCCCTGCAGCAACCCGGGACTCGACTCCACGCGGTGTAACCCGTAGTCGGCCGAGGAACCAGCCGCACTCGCGCCCCCATACATGGGCGCCGGCGCCACCCCGGCAGCTGCACTCGTGCCCCCATACATGGGCGCTGGTGCAACTCCGGCAGCGTCACCAGCGGCGGCACCGCCGCCCCGAGCACGCACAGCTTCTAGCACCTCCGCGAACCTCGCCGCCATGTCGGCCTTTAGGTCCTCCACCGAGGCGCTGATGACGGCCCGCTCATTAGCGCTGTCCTGCCGCTCCGCGTCATACTCTTCGAGGCCAATCACAGACTCGTCGGAGGTGTTCTCGTCCCCGCTCATATCTCCGCCCCCGGCCGACGTGCGGCCGATGCACCGATCAATCTCCAAAGTAGTCGACGCTTCTCCGAGAACGGCGGATCGACTCCTTCGCCCAGATTCTTGGTCTTCANCTTGGATGGCCGCGTAATTCTCCCGAGCGTGCCGCGCCACGTCGTCGATGGCCGTCTGGAACGAGGCTTCGACACGATCCAGCCGCGCTTGCGATGCCGCCTCCAACCTCGGTTCGTCGGCGATCCCCCGGCAAGCGATGGTAATAAAAGCCCCCGCCATGCAAATGCGTTGAGATGGGGAGACGGTCGCCACCCGCCCCCCGGGGCGTGAAGGCAGCGGGGTCAACGTCACGGAAGTTCAAGAGCATGTCGGCTACCACGTCCGTGACCTCAATACTATCAAACATTAACCCTTGCAGGCTCGGCTTCTCTAGCTTCGGCGGAAAACATCCCATCATCACCCACCACATGCGACTGTTCGCCGAGCTCCAAGCGTTCACCCGCTGGTCCGAGATTACCTTTTCCATCCGTCGCTGGGCATGCTACACCCTCGTTCCCGTCCCGTATCCACCGGAGTCCATGTTAAGGCCCCCCGCTCCAAACGGGAACGAAATCGCGGGAGTGAAGCCTAAGCCGCCCCCACTGCCATACAGACCAGCGCCCTGCAGCAACCCGGGACTCGACTCCACGCGGTGTAACCCGTAGCCGGCTGAGGAACCAGCCGCACTCGCGCCCCCATACATGGGCGCCGGCGCCACCCCGGCAGCTGCACTCGTGCCCCCATACATGGGCGCTGGTGCAACTCCGGCAGCGTCACCAGCGGCGGCACCGCCGCCCCGAGCACGCACAGCTTCTAGCACCTCCGCGAACCTCGCCGCCATGTCGGCCTTTAGGTCCTCCACCGAGGCGCTGATGACGGCCCGCTCATTAGCGCTGTCCTGCCGCTCCGCGTCATACTCTTCGAGGCCAATCACAGACTCGTCGGAGGTGTTCTCGTCCCCGCTCATATCTCCGCCCCCGGCCGACGTGCGGCCGATGCACCGATCAATCTCCAAAGTAGTCGACGCTTCTCCGAGAACGGCGGATCGACTCCTTCGCCCAGATTCTTGGTCTTCACCCCGCCGGCAAAGACGACAACACTAGCTCCCCGGAACAGAACGTCATAACAGGTAGTAGCTGGCAGTGTTGTCCACTCGTACGTTTAGCAGTCCCTGTGCTCCAGCACTGATGATGCTTCAACGTGATCGGGCGCAAACGGAACGTCCTGCGAGCAGCTGCCTTCTCTCGGCGCGCATGCCTCCTCTTCTATTCGCCCGCATCCTTTTTGGCTCATAATATTAATGCTCACTTCTCATCGACTCCAACAAACACCAATTTCAGACTCCTCCCCCCTTAGGTTGGATTCATCTGAAATACTCGCTTCTGAAGCTATCTTTCTACACCTCTCGGACCATCATGGCCGACGACCTGCTTTCAATTCCACATGCAATGGCCTGAACTGGTCCCGGAATTATCTGTCACATACGGACGTACGTTATCGAACAAGCGTAGATCAGGGGATGGAAAAGAACAATGATAACAGTATTGATGTCATCTTCCGCCGATACATCGCCCAAAGGGGGAACTGTGGGTTTATTCATGCGGCATTCATGAAGGGACTTGGTGTTGTTTGAAAACGCTGGGTGGGACAACTCCCACGGGTATACAACTTCAAAGACATCGGAATGGACAGTACGTGACGTTGGTCAGTGAATTGTAGTCTATGCGCCATTCATTCATAAAGCTCCCCGATTGCACAATATGGGTGTGCCCCAACAAAGACGAGTTATTCACATTGTGGACATCACAAACGACATTTATTCTCTTTTTTCACCAGGGGGCGAAAGGTGTTGCAATACTCAGCGCTCACGATGTGAAATCGGTGGACGACCATGTACCAATATCCAATACGAACAATATCCACAACAGCAACATCACAGCAGCAACATCACAGCAGCAACATCACAGCAGCAACAGCAACAACAACAACAACAACGAAATCAAATATATAGTGAAAAGGAAACAACGAGCGAGGCGAAGAAGACACGATCACGTATATATGTTCTTCAGAAAAAATATCCTTCGCATTTGGACGTACGTCCGCAACGCGCTCAATCGAGCGCATCCTTCCGACGGCATAGCTCGCTCTACTTTTGGCGGGGGGGTCTACCTTTGGTCATGGCAACTCGTGGCTGTTGTGCTGGGTTGTTCCGGCTTCATAATCACTACTTGTCCGCCGTTGTTCGAAGAAGCCTTCGTTTCCGATCCGAGGATGAATGAGGAGGTCTTGTTCCAACACTTTTGTGGCCTTTTGACTCCTAATGTATTCATTCAGTAGTTGCACGTCAATCAATTCCGTGCCGATCGCAAACTCTCCTGCACCAGGCTCAACGCAACACAACAACTGCTTAGGTATGAAGATGCCAGTCTCGCGGAAAAACCCCGGCACTATGAACGCGTTGGATGCATTCTGCACAATCCTAGGGTGCGTCTTACGTTTGGTAGGCCGAAATATAAGCTCGTATGCTGATTCGTGGTCACCACGGCGCTTACAATCCAATCTCATCACAAGCTAATGCCGCACCATGCTCATGACCAGGAGCAGGTAGAGGCTTGTGTCCGGATCCGTTCGCGTGTTCATACCCTTACCACTTGAACGTGTACATGTGCCAGATGCAAAGTAAAAATACGCAGACGTGGGTTGGTTGTGCTTGATATCATCGACATGGATCGCGTGCATGCTCCTTGAGCGCCTACGAATCTTAAGTGAGTGAACTGACACTGACCAGCAGCAGGATTTCGGGTGAAAATACATGTTTCTTTCATGGTTCCCCAGAAACCGGGTTTTCATTGTGAATGCTCTTCATCCGCATGCTGGCGTGGAGCGCACGCCTAAGCGGCACCTCAGCGAGTGAAACTAATATCATACCTGGCCAGCAGAACGATCGGGATTCATTGGTTTTAGATTTCCAGCACTCTGTGAATGTGAACTTGAATGAGTTTAGTCATGTCATATAGCGGGCCGACCTTAACGTGAACACCATTATGTTATGGGATTCAGTACCAGGACCTGAACCATAGTTTTAGGCAACATATGTAGATCTGGCGGGAACTGCCACTCCCTTTGATTGTTGCTAAACAGGGGCGGTTTTAGCCATAGCGTTCCCCCTCTCGGCAAGGAGGCCCGCACCCCCTTCTGTTCAGTTCATTTGAAGCAGGATTCAGCAAGTGTGCTGCTGTATTGAATGAGAGAAACAACAACGAACACGTGAGTCATCATCAGGGTCTTCAGGGACTACTACGAGTGTGAACCTCATAACCATTAATCAATACTCATACATCGTTGTACCATATAGACGATGTGCGCATAATATATAGGGACGCTTGCAGGGAATGGGTCAAAGCCTCATCACCCCACTGTATTGTGGGAACAACATTATTGTAGAATTTCAACCAATCCAGATTTGTGGTACGTTCTACAGTAAAATGTGGTATGGAAGTACCTTCGTGACAAGGACCAAACACTGTTAGCTCATGTTTGACGAGGCACAGCCGCGTCGAATTTCGGAAGGCGAGGATGACCTAGGGACTTCCCAAGAATATCGAGGCACAGTCTACCAAATATGTGCAGAGCAACGAATAGTGGGAAGTTCTGTTCGTGTTTGGAGGTGGCCCATATCGTGGACTATTGTTGACGCGACCGCTGTGAGCAGCAGGTCCCAATATTGCGGTAGACGGGCACTGAATAGAACCTGTGAGCGAATGTGTACAGCGTGCGGACGGACCTCTGAATGAATGGCTTCACCGGAAAAAATACACACATCACAAGCGTGCGGGTGAAACCCCTGGTACAGCCACCACTATTTGTGAAACACGCCGTATGGGAGCCGTGGAGCGACGTGTCCAAAAGTACGTGCTGCACCTGCTGCGGGCTGGCGGCGACCGCGCCTTGGTTGTATCCATCGAAGCGGTGCTCTGGTCGGCCAATGACCTTTCCGCGTCAGACCGTGCGCGGCGTTGTTGTTTTCACAGTGGAATCCGTTCTGACCTGTACACGGAAGTAGCTTTGGGAGACCCCGCGATCCCTTTGGCGCAAGTCCTTTGCGACAACGCCCACTATTTCTCCACGATCGTGACGCGATGGGCAAAATTATTTATGGGCCCACTTAGGCAGGCACCAATCTGGTTTATTCTAGCGAAAACGTAGTCTCAAGCAATAAAACATTTATCCCGAACAAAGGAGATATGAGATCGATTCACAATTTGTTCACACGCACCGACGTGCGTCGTCGTTCACCCTAACGTACGGACGGCATAGCGTTTCATCATACGCAGCACATGCACACGACACCGCCACTTCCCCAACGTAACGGAAAGACGTTGCATTACACCACACCACATGTACCGACAACCGAGTCGGCGATATGTACAAGAAAACCAACCTCACGAGAGCACCACACACTGGAAGACCGTGCAAAGCATGCGAATCACGCGGTCAAGCATTCGCTCTGCGAAAAACAACTGGCAGACTACTTTACCGAACGCAAAAATCTGCAAAACTAAGAAAGTCCAAGGAGCGCATCTACTCTGCAACGGTTGCTCTCCTTGAAAAACTTCTCACCGGGTGGCAACGGCCAAAAAGCTGCCAAGGGGCCAGACTTCCGGCACGAAAACAAAGCAAATTGTTTACATGAGCTGCCCGGCGTACTCCGCGCGGGGGTACTTCACGAGGAGCTCCGGCCAGTGAACCACGAACCGATCGGCCAACAGATACATGATGCGACCGCTCAGGCTCAGAGACTTCACCCGGCAAAAACTCTCGCAGAACACGGTGCGGGAGCAGCTCGACCCCAACCCGAAGAAGCGCAGGGCGGACGCGGCAACGCACACTGGAATGCACGTCCCTGTTGTGTCGGGGGGGGTATCGCAGGGGAGGAGGTAGTCGCATGATAAATGCATGGGCCCTCGAGAAACAATTCCGACTACCACGTGATTGCTAGGACGGACACTCTCCCCGACAGATGCTTGTTAAGTTAGCTCGATGCTTCCATAACCTGCTACTTCTACCAGTATGCACGAACGTTACGGCAACCCGTGTGGCGTGGGGAAGGATCCATCGCGCCGTTAGCATGGAAATAAAGTCTGGCACCGCCGCAGGACGAGGGGGGCGTGGTTCGCAGAAACAAGGAGCACCAGCAAGGAAAAGGTCTCCCAAGCCTTCGTTCGATGAAACAGCATCAACGCACATGCTTAGGCATGTCGAACGTACGTCTGCCAAGGGAGTAACCTCACCGGGACCGTTAACAAGAACGAGGTCTGGACGAACTGTGACCACCACGACGGCGGCATGCAGACCGGCCAACAACGTCGTGAAGACCGACGTCAGGTATGACTGCCCCACCTGCGACAAGGACCGGACTTGGCGCATTGGGAGATGAGCGTGAAGAACGAAAAAGAAAATTGACAAACTGTAGGGCAGAAAGGTTGAAGGATGAATCGTAACGAACTTGTCTGAACGTTGCAAGTTGAACAGGCTGATCAGGTTGACCGATTCTGCCTCTCTGCCAGACAGTACACAAATTAAGGTAGATCTTGCACAGCAGTGTGCGGTAGGGTCCCTGGCAGAGCAGGCAGACATGCTACCTATGAGGCCATCCAAATTAGAGCGGTTTCTCCGGGTATTACTCTAATCGATGTTGCACTTCGTCGAAAACATCCACGACCAATTCATCGGCGCACGAGGACAAGACGCGTTCCCACTTTGTGGGACGAGCAGCCAACGATGTTCTACAAATACCCACAACGTTCCAGAGGCGCCACTGGGACAGTCCTATCGAGACATTGGACACCATGGTACGGACGAACCACCGAGGCGGCGATCTAAGTCGGAAAACGGGAGCATGTTGTGTGACGAACGGACCGCAAACCTAGCGCCACTCCCATGTGTTTTTCTACAGGGGACCTGTGCTGCCGCTGCGTCGAGGTGATCGAAACAAACGGTGAAATGGAGAATGCTGCTGCAGGACAGTGCACCAAACAACAAGAATCACAAGTCGCAGGCGCAAAACCGTTGCTCTTCCTTTCTACTGCAACTGACTCTTGCAAATACCAGGCTCCCTTGCCTCGTTTCTGGTAGGGCATGCAGCAGTTGAACATCTCACGCCACCCGTTCTCGCCAACACAAAATGTACAAGCATGTCCTAGAACGATCATTACCTCACGGCTGCGAGGTATCGTGAGTACCCTGGAGCGACCTGACATCAGTCCCTCTTTCGGGATGCGGTCTGCGCTGGTGTGGTCTGTGCTCGCCACGACGTAGCAGAGCGGGGAGTATGTCTCCGGCGAGAGGCGTGAGGTCAGCTTCAGCATCTCGGAGGTGTGTCCACCTTGGGGCATGGACGACAAGCGTCGGGGGGTAAGGGAGGGATGGAAAACGTCCAACAAGCGTGACGAATTCGGGTAGGTACGCAGAGTTCCAGCTACCGACGCGCCCTTCGTGCCTCTACCTCCAAGCAGCACGGGGAAACCATTCAGGCAAAGTTCAGGATGGGTTGAACACCGACCAGGTGTACCCGTTGGCCAAAAGCGCGCTCCGTTCTTTCTGCGATATCGTAAGGTTGCGGATTGTCGAATAGATCGGGGTCCGCGCACGGGCGTGAAAGGAAAAAAAAGCAAGAAGAACGTGATGTACTTCGAGTTCCGAATACACGTGGCACCTTTTTCGGAGAAAACAAGACTTGGAACGATCCTTTCCGTGTTCCGTCTTCGTGTATTTCACCCACTGTTTGCTTCTTCAGACCGTCTGAAGAAAAAAAGCGACCAGTGGATGAAATACATCAAGGATGAACACCGATAAGTTCGTTAGAAGTCTTGCTTTCTCCGAACAAGGTGTCAACGTGTGTGCTATCGCCTCCGTGAGTTGCGAAAAAAATAGGGACGAGGTGCTCCCGTATACGGACTTGTGATTTTATTTCGGCTCGTACCTTTGGAATCAAAGTATCAATAGATCAATACGATCAGATCACGCGGTCAAACGAACAACAAGAGTTGGCGTCCTGATAAAGGCCAGTGTCTCCGACACCCGCCGCGGTATAGCATCGCTCATGACGGATTCCGACTGCCCTACTGCTTTCCCTGGCAAAAGCCTGCTCTTGGTTTGTACAGAGGGACAATGGCAGGGTCGAACAGCCGGACAATAAAAATGACCTGACCTCGTCCACCGACACTAGGATAATTCTTGGCTTTAATGCAGAAAGAACAACAAGTAAGGGGTCCTGGTGAAGCGTTCCCTCTCTTAACTAGCGTTCTGAAAAAACACCAGTGTTCTCGACACCGGCGGTGTACCATCTCGCGTGGTGGTTCCCGACTGTGGTTCCTGGCTAAAGCTCCCTCTTGGTACAGAGAGCAAAGGGTTGGATCGAAACAGCCGTGCTTTGAAAATCATTTGCTGACTACCAGATACCACTTGTTCATCGAACCTCGTCAGCAGACACGTCGGTGACCAAACAAAAAGGCTAGCGGACACAGAAGCACAAGAGAGAAATGATATTGAAGCATCACTTCTCTTGGTATATGCAGCAGCCCACGGAGAGACGAGAACACCATTGATACCTTCTAGGAGTAAGTAGGACTCGACACGTGTTCCTTCTTGAGGTCCTTCATCCCCTTAAGATCACAGGGAGACGGGGGCGAACCATAGGTTCTGTCGTTTGGCGGCAGCGGCGATGGTCGATGGTGACTGGACTGACTGCGACAGGAACAACATCTCTCTGCCACAAGCTGACCAAGATGATGCCTCTTCCCCAGCGGATGTGAAATCCCGGCTGTTCGACCTGAACCTCACGCCGCGACTCTTCCTGGGACCGTGCCGGTACTAGAGGCACTGTGATCAACCCCCCCCCCCCCCCCCCCCCCCCCCCCCCCCCCCCCCCCCCCCCCCCCCCCCCCCCCCCCCCCCCCCCCCCCCCCCCCCCCCCCCCCCCCCCCCC